ACGGAGACACAGCAAGAGAGGGAAAACAAGCAGGGAGAGTGGGAGAGGGAGAGGGAGAAGAAGGCTTCCCGCTGAGCAGGGAGTCTGAAGCGAGACTTGATCCCCGGACCCTGGGATCATGACCTGAGCCGAAGGCAGACGCTTAACGACTGAGCCACCCAGGCGCCCCTATTTAAACATTTATAATTACAGTGAAATACATATAATGTAAAATTCACCATCTTCACTGTTTTTGAGTATATAATTCAGTAGTGTTAAGTATATTCACATTGCGCAACAAATCTCTGGAACTTTCCATCTTGCAAAAATGAAACCCTATATCCAATAAACAATTCCCCATTTCTTCCTCCTCCAAGCCTCTGGCAAACACCATTCTACTTTCTGTTTCTTTGATTATTCTACATACCTCATATAAGTGAAATCATACAGTATTTGTCTTTTTGTGACTGGCTTATTTCACTCAGCATTATGTCCTCAAGATTCCTCCACCATGTAGCTGTGCCAGAATTTCCCTCCTTTTTAAAGCTGCATGTAGATACCACATTTTGCTTATCCAGTCATCATGATGGACACTTGGGTTGCTTCCACATTTTGGCTATTGTAAATAATGCTATGAAGATGGGTGTACAAATATCTCTTTCAGACCCTGCTTTCATTTTGGGCGTTATAAACCCAGAAGTGGAATTGCTGGATCATACCTATGGTAGTTCTATTCTTAAGTTTTTGAAGACCCATCATACTGTTTTCCACAGGGGCTCATCCTACATTCCCACCAACAGTATGTCAGGGTTCCAATTTCTCTACGTTGTCACCAACACTTGTTTATTTTCTGTTTTATTAATAGCAGCTATCCTCATAGGTGTGAGGTGCTATCTTATTGTGCTTTTAATTTGCATTTCCCTAACAATTACTGGTGTTTAGCATCTTTTCATATGCTCGTTGTCCATTTATATATCTTCTTTGGAGAAATGTCTATTCAAGTCCTTTGCCCATTTTAAAATCAGACTATTTGGGGCGCCTGGGTGGCTCGGTCGTTAAGCATCTGCCTTTGGCTCAGGTCATGATCCCAGGGTCCTGGGATCGAGCCCCGCATCCGGCTCCCTGCTCCGCAGAGAGCCTGCTTCTCCCTCTCCCTCTGTCTGCTGCTCTGCCTGCCTGTGCTCTCTCTGTCAAATAAATGAATAAAATATTTAAAAAACAAAAATAAAAAAATAAAACCAGGCTATTTGTTCCTTTGCTGCTGCTTAAATCTTTTATTTGCAATCAGTGAATCAAGTCCTCGCCCTCTATTATCTTTAATATTCTCTAACCAAGAGGTGCCCCAAGGTATTCTCTTGTTTAGTAATACTAGAAATGAAAAGAATGTTGCTGTCAAGAAATCTTGAAGTTGGAAAGTAGTTGGAAAGGTACCATTTTATAAATCTCAGATATCCATTGCTATTGGTTGTCCAGACTCTTGGAGAAGTTTTGATATGCCTGAAGTCTTTCATAAAGATATTATGTTATTACTGCTCTCATTCATTTCAGCTCAACAAATTTACAGGGTGCCCGCTACTACGTAATGGACATTGTGCCATGGATACTTTAGAGTTAATATAAAACACACACAAGGGGTGCTAGGGTGGCTCAGATGGATAAAGGACTGACTTGATTTCAGCTCAGGTCATGATCTCGGGGCCCTGGGATCAAGGCCCAAGTTGGGCTCACCATTCACTGGAAGTCTGCGTCTCTCCCTCTTCCTCTGGGCCGCCCCCCCACCCCCCGCCCCCCTCTCACACACTCTCTTTCAAATAAATAAATAAATCTTTAAAAAAATAAATAAAGCACACACAAAATATTTTAACTCCTTTGGTCTAATAATACCTACCAGCTAGATTCTGGGTCACTAGTTTTGGATCTACATTTTTTTGAATGAGTTTAAAAAGCTACAGATCTCTTCTGATCTTTCCTGCCAGATCTTCTCTCTCTGAATGAGGAAGTATACACGCCCTTAAGTAAGCTTGATATTTGGGCTGGGCCTCTCAGTTTTCCCAGGCCTCACCCAGGTGAAAAACACACCCTATCTGAAAATCTAGTTCCTTAAAAATATCTTGGTAAAGTTTTGGAGAGACTTCCTCTATAAGGCTGTCATTTCTGCTTCTATACAGAAGCACATTCAGAAAAAACTTCTTTCCGGTTGCAACTTGTTGAAAGATCTCAACAAGTCCTTAAAACATGAACAGCCATCCAGCGCTGCCAGTACTTGAGCTGCCTGCCCCTCCTTGCCTCCCCTCTCCCCGGAGAAGCCCAGGGAACTAGGGCAAGAAGGAGGGACCATGTTCCAAGGCAGGCTGATGGCCCTCGACTACCATAACCCTGCTGGTTTCAACTGCAAAGATGAACCAGAATTTAGAAACTTTATTGTTTGGCTTGAAGACCAGAAAATCAGACACTACAAGATTGAAGGCAGAGGTAATTTAGGAAACATCCACAGTAGTGACCAGCCCAAGTTCTTTGAAAAGTATCTCAGAGATGTTAACTGTCCTTTCAGGATTCAAGACGGGCAAGAAACAATTGACTGGCTTCTTGGTTTAGCTGTAGGACTTGAGTCTGGAGATAATGCTGAAAAAATACAAGGACTTGGTACATGATAATACAAAAATTGCCAGCAATGTAGAGGCATTGATCCATCTGGATGTAAATAATCCTGATTTTTAAGGCTGGTGTAATGGCTTTGGCTAACCTTCTTCAGATTCAGCTGTCAGGATGACTACCTGGTAATGCTTAAGGTAATTCGCATTTTGGTCCAGGATGCAGCTGCTACAGCAAATCAAACAAAACAGGGCTTGCCTGTTACTTTAGGCAAACAACTCTTGGGTTTTTTTTTTTTTTTAATTTTATTTATTGATTTTGTCAGAGAGAGAGAGAGAGAGAGAGAGCACAAGCAGGGGGAGCAGCAGAGGGAGAGGGAGAAGCAGGCTCCTCATTGAGCAAGGAGCCCAATGTGGGACTCGATCCCAGGACCCCGGGATCATGACCTGAGCCGAAGGCAGACGCTTAACGACTGAGCCACCCAGGCGTCCCCAACTCTTGGTTTTAACACAAGATATGTGGTTCTTAATGAAGCTGCTCAAATTCTGTGATTGCTGCACATAGAAGAGCTCGGAGAGCTACAGACAAAAATTCATGAAGCCACACATAGTAGCTGTTCAGGCAATTACTGCCAATCCAAAGACAGACCACAGACTGGGGAACACTTTAGGATTTCAGCTTCTCACCTACTTAGTACAGTTGGGAACCATGTACACTCTGGCATGTGTTCGGAAATCCAATGTCACATTTTCAAGGGAAGATGCCCAGAAAATCGACTACACTCTAGAGATTTACCATCATTGCTTTTTCTTTAATAAAATTCAGGAAAGTGGGGGAAAAAATGAACAGCTATCCAGAGGATTTTCTACATTGGTATCCATCTTTTTCAGATTATCAGGGACTCTGCTCCACGATACCCTCCATCCACTTTTGTGCCCCAAATCTGAACCGAAACCAAAATCCCCAAGAAGCTACTGCATGTGAAAATATTCTTAATCTTGGCCTGCCTTAGGCACAGTCCATAAATTCTAGGGTTGAGAAGACAACAGGACTAATGTAGGCTCATGGTCTCCTAGAGTGTTACTACTGGAAAGGCCTCTGAAGGTTATCCAGTCAAATCACCCTCGTGTCACATGAGGAAACTGAGAGCCAAAAAGGGACACATTTTCTCAAAGCCATACAAAGTCACTATGTCTCCAGACAGCATAGGGCTCTTTGATGCCACACCTCTTTTTGTTCACTAATGTTCATTTCCTGAGATGCCTCTCGATGTTTAATTTCCTATTTATTGAACATGAAAACAATTGTATTACTGAAAATCCTTGAAATATGTTTGAATGTATTAAACAAAATGCTTTGTATTAATAAAATTCCAGAGTTCCCCTCAAGAAAAAGTTTTGCTAAAATTAGGATCAGGTGGCCAACTTCTAGAGAAAGTGCTCTGGGCACCTCTGAATGACTCTTCAGACTTGAGAACAATGGCCTGTCTAGAGAAGAACCACTAAGCTCCTTTTCTTCAGGTCATGCTCCCAGTCTACAAATACACTCCCCTGGACCCATGTGTGGTCTAGCACTTTGTTTTGTGTACAGTAGGATTAAGGTGTTTGGGATTCATACTTTGACATCAATACAAACACATCTACATCCTCAGCACAACAACAAAAAAGTGACTTTCATGTAGAGTTTAAGGTAAAAATTTAGGCATAAGTGACTGAGACAAATATAAGGCCAGATATACTCTAGGAGAAGAGTATTAGCTCGGGTATGGCGCAGAATTGTGACATCTTATTGTCACAGTGCATCTGGATCATCTAGGTGACTAACAGTACAGTCTATTATTTCAGAAAGGTTATAAAAATCTATGGGCCTCACACCATGTGTAACGTGGGTGAGGAAGCAAACTTGTAATCTGCATTTCCTGATTTAGGAACAGGGGAGGTGGGGGGTGGGTGTCTAAAATATCTTCTATTAGTGAATCTGTATGTACTTGGTCTAGTATTGGTCTCCCCAGCAAAGAGAGGTGGCCAAAAGTTAATCTCACATACTGAATAGGGAACCCATTCAATATCTTGTTTGGGCCCTCAAAGAATCAATGAAACCATTTTCCTTTTCTGATAAATATACCAGGTTGTCCTGTATGAGGTTGTATGGACCCATGAGTTCATTAAAAGTACAGAGGGTCATTTTCTCTGATCCAAAGATTCTTGGTTTGGGGATAGTTAGTTGGGAACGCTGAAATCCTATCGTCTGTGCCGGCATTTAAGACCCAAGAGCCACATTCCAAAACAGAGCACTGCCCTGGTTCCATAAAACCCAGTTTATAAACCAGCAGACATTTGCTTGCAGCACCTTAAACGAAGTTCAATAGTCGCTGTGTTTTATTTAAAAAGTATCTTTGTGTTAGTACATACAAATATACTCTCAGCACAACTGTCCATACAATTTATATTTAGTCCAAGAGGCTGGTGAGAAGGAAAAAGATCATAAAGCAAGGCTTAGGGACGGCTGCTCTCTTCTAAGTGCAAAGCAGGCTGGCGCGATGCGAGGGCATCCGTGGCGCTCCCGGCAGTCCACAGTTCAGCAACAAAGTGCGGAAGTGGAAGGAAGTTTTTATGTATAAAGTACCACAGCGGTGTCTAGAAACAAACAGAAGATGCTAGAAGGCAGCAGGAATGGGTAATGCTAGAATGAGGGCTGGGGAGGGTCAGGGTCAAGCTAAGGTAGTCATGAATAAAGCCGAATTTCTCCGTAATTTGAGGCACAAGACCGGAGAGAAAGGAATCGTAGGAAGCAGCCCCGTTGGGGAAGACTGGGGGTGTGATAACAGGGACATGTTAAGAGGCATTAGGAACAGTAAAAAAAGGAAGGAGAGTTGGAGTGATAATTATTGAGTACTACCACTGGGAGGAGGGTCTTGCAGGGATAATAAAGGGAGAAGGGTGTAAAGGAAGGGTCAGGAATGGTAGGGGTAAACTATGGGAAAAGACTGCGCAGACGTCAGCAGCAAAGAAAAAGAGAAGGAATGGGGTTGGGGCGTGGCCCAGAAAGGGAATGGCTCAATAGCGGGCTACGGGGTGAAAAGGAGAAGGGTGGGGAAGAGCCCGGCTGACAGCTGCTCTCAAATGGCGCCTACAGGGTTAAAAATCAGGGCAACCAGACTAGGAAGAACTCGGTTTCCAGGGTAACGGCCCCGACAGTTCCGGCAGCGCAGGCTCGTACCATTGCGCGGGCGCGCGCGGGGGGAGCACGGCGGGAGGGGACGCGCGAAGGAGCAGTCGGGCAGAGGGGTCCGGCCCGGACTCTACCAAACGCGCGGCCCGCCTGCTCGCCCCGGGCCCGGCGCCGAGCCGCGCTCCGGCCGCGCCGGCCGCGGCGTCCTCCGTGCCCGGGCCCGCAGCTCCCAACTGGCCGCGGACGGCGGGGGGTGGGGGTGAAGGAACGTGCGCCCGGTGGCCCGGATTGGCCTCCAGGTCCCCCCGCCTGGGCGGCGGAGTGCGGGCGGCCCGGGCTGGGAGGTTTGAAAAGCGGGCGAGAGACAAAGGCAGCAGGAAGCCTCCTCGGCGCCCGGAGCCCGTGCTCTCAGCCCCCGGGACCCCCCGGCCGGCCCGCCGGCCCGGAGCAGCAGCGTCGGCGGCCGGCGGCGGCAGTGGCAAGAGGCAGAGGATGCGGCAGGGGGCGTGGGAGCGGCGGCGGAGCGGGCGGAGCGGGCGGAGCGGCGCGGCCCGAGCGCGGCGTGGTTAGACCCGAGGCGGCGGAGGCGGCGGAGGCGGCGGCCCGGCCGGGCTCGGGAGTGAGTGAGAGGGCGCTTTCCCCGCCCGGGATGTGAACACCGAGCGGAGCCCGGGGCGGGGGGAGGGAAGGGAAGGGAGGAGAAGCCGGCAGGAAGGAAGGAAGGACGGACGGACCAGGAGGAGGAGCGGCGGCGGCGGCCGGAGCCGGAAGGCGGGGAGGGGCCGTCCGTTGGGCCCGAGGCGGCGGCGGTAGCGGCCGGGGCGAACCGCTCTTGTCGCCTCTCGGGACAGGAGCGGCGGGGCCCGCGCCTCCTCCCCCCGGCGCCGCGGAGGGGGGAGGAGGAAGATGGAGACCCACATCTCGTGCTTGTTCCCCGAGCTGCTGGCCATGATCTTCGGCTACCTGGACGTCCGGGATAAGGGGCGCGCGGCGCAGGTGTGCACGGCCTGGCGGGACGCCGCCTACCACAAGTCGGTGTGGCGGGGGGTGGAGGCCAAGCTGCACCTGCGCCGGGCCAACCCGTCGCTGTTCCCCAGCCTGCAGGCCCGGGGTATCCGCCGTGTGCAGATCCTGAGCCTCCGCCGCAGCCTCAGCTACGTGATCCAGGGCATGGCCAACATCGAGAGCCTCAACCTAAGCGGCTGCTACAACCTCACTGACAACGGGCTGGGCCACGCGTTTGTGCAGGAGATCGGCTCCCTGCGTGCCCTCAACCTGAGCCTCTGCAAGCAGATCACCGACAGCAGCCTGGGCCGCATAGCCCAGTACCTCAAGGGCCTGGAGGTGCTGGAGCTGGGGGGTTGCAGCAACATCACCAACACCGGCCTCCTGCTCATCGCCTGGGGCCTGCAGCGCCTCAAGAGCCTTAATCTCCGCAGCTGCCGCCACCTCTCGGACGTGGGCATCGGGCACCTGGCCGGCATGACGCGCAGCGCGGCCGAGGGCTGCCTGGGCCTGGAGCAGCTCACGCTGCAGGACTGCCAGAAGCTCACTGACCTTTCTCTAAAGCACATCTCCCGGGGGCTGACGGGCCTGAGGCTCCTCAACCTCAGCTTCTGCGGGGGCATCTCGGACGCGGGCCTCCTGCACCTGTCGCACATGGGCAGCCTACGCAGCCTTAACCTGCGCTCCTGCGATAACATCAGTGACACGGGCATCATGCACCTGGCCATGGGCAGTCTGCGCCTCTCAGGGCTGGATGTGTCGTTCTGTGACAAGGTGGGGGACCAGAGTCTGGCTTACATAGCCCAGGGCCTGGACGGCCTCAAATCCCTCTCCCTCTGCTCCTGCCACATCAGCGATGATGGCATCAACCGCATGGTGCGGCAGATGCACGGGCTGCGCACGCTCAACATCGGACAGTGTGTGCGCATCACAGACAAGGGCCTGGAGCTGATCGCTGAGCACCTGAGCCAGCTCACTGGCATAGACCTGTACGGCTGTACCCGAATCACCAAGCGCGGCCTGGAGCGCATCACGCAGCTGCCCTGCCTCAAGGTACTCAACCTGGGACTCTGGCAGATGACGGACAGTGAGAAGGTCAGGTGAGGGCAGCAGCACCTGCTCCCCTTGTCCCGCCCTGTTCTTCCTCCGGTCACCACCACGCCCCCGCCCCCCGCCCCCCACTCGACATGCACACTTACACATAGATCATTGTAGCGGATGAGATGGGGGCAGTGACACGAAGCCTCAGGCTCATTTTCTCCCTCCTCCAGCACCTCGGCCCACTACACACCCATTCCCATTGCATCTGGGGTTCCTCTGCTACCCCTACCTTACTCACCTCTCGTTTCCCCTGACGATGGAGAGCCGGATTCAGCTACTTACCCACCCACTCCTCTCTGCAGGGGGATGGAGGACTGTTTGAGCTACTGTATCCCCACTGCTTTACATTTGGAAATGGGGGAGGGGTGGGGATGGCCTAGTCCTTAAAACCCTGGGGGAGTTGAGGAAAATGTCTGCCTTCCTTAAGCTTTTATTTGAATACTGTGATCTGGTTTTTATTTTGAAATGTATAAAGAGCAAACCCAACTACCACGGCCTTTTCACCCTCCTTCCTTCCAGATTGTAACTAATCCCAGGCTCTTCTCATCACTTCTCCTACAGTACTCTGCTGTTCACGCTCATTTCCTTTTAATTGTCTTTCTTTTTCATGTTTTTATTTTTTGAAGAAATTCGAAATCACGGTCCTTTTTTTTTCTGCTGAATATAGTCTATATATTATATATATATAAATTATATATATATACATATATATATGTCTGGCTACCTCGTTTTAGTTTACTTTTTTCTCTGAAGCCCTGGAATTCTACAAGAGAGATATTTTGAGACAAACATTTTTGTGCCTAGACTGGAAAGATGCCCATTGGGTTTGTACGTCTTTTTTGTTTTGGCTTCTTCCCAAACTCCATCCATCCAGTGTGTCCCACTTCCACATTCTGGCTATAATTTTTTTTTTTTCCTTGCGCATTGGGATTTGAGGGCCCAACGGTGTTCGTAAATCTTGACTTAATTTATAGCACAAATGTGTGGAAGAAATGAGAGTTGAACTTTTGTTTGTTTGAGATGCAGATTGTGTCTTGAAAATGATTATATATGCAAATTTTGCCCTACCCTCACCCTCTTCCAAGTGTCCCCACAAAAAAGGTCACATGGTGAGGCTTCCTGTTGGAAGCAGAGGAGCAGAGTTGGCCTACGGAGCCCCTGGGGCTGTAACGTGAAGGGGAGGAGACTAAAACTCACGTCTTATCTATGTTCTGTTAATAAAATGGGAATTTGTGGGTTTTAACAAAAATCTGTTTCTAAATGGAGGCATAGATGGCTTTCTTTATTTTGGTGGGGGTTGGAACTTGTGGCTTTAAAAAAAATCGCTTTTGAGTAGGATGTATATTTTTGTTGGAGTTTTTGTTTATTTTTTTAGAATCCTCCACAGCAACATGCGAGACCATGGAGTTAAAGAAACCCAGAGACCTTTATCAATTAATTGTACTGTTTGTGAATTTGTATAAATAATAACAAAGATCCTCTTAAAACATTTATATTCTTACAGTAAAAGGTTAAACTGATATTTATATAATAAAAGAGGAAATATGAAGTATGTTTTTGAAAAAAAAACAAAACAAAAACAAAAAACCTTGTATCTGTGAATTATTTTGAAGGCAGTGTGTGTTTGGGTACATGCCAAAGTAGGAGGTGCTGTTTGTGTACTTACTCTAGGAGGATTTAAGGTATAGAGTTCGGTGCATCCTATGTGGTGTGAGTAAGCTCATGGTTACAAATTTATTCTGTATAAGGTTTACTACTGACATCTAAATGTTTTGTTGCTAGAAATGTGACTGGACTGGAGATTTATATAATTTTTGGTTTTAAACTGTCAACAACATGGAAATTGAAAGAAACTGAACAAAATGGAACTTTTTAAAAACTAGATCTGTAAGAGTCACAATTTCCCCAGGGTGGAAATGAGATCCAGGGGTCCTGTTGAAAAATGGGTCATGAGATGTGGAAGTGGGGAAGAAAAGACGGGCTTCTTTCCACTTTGAGTGGGTGTGGGGAGGATGTGAAATGGTGAAGGGTGGAGGGAACTGAAGCCATTGTTCAGAAAAGTTAAAAGAGCGCTGTCCTTGCTCGCTCGCTCACTTGCTCAGTCATGCATGCTGAATCTCACAGTGTGAGTGAGGGTCCTGGTGGAAAGGAGGAAGGCAGTTCAGCCCCTCTTTTTAACATTCTCCTCCAGGCCCCACTGTATTTAAGCACTTTCCTGGGGGATGGGGAGGTTGGCCAGGAGTTCTTGCACATTTGCATTTTAAGCACTTCCAGCGCTGAAGCTCGCCACTCCACTCGGATCCACTGTGGTGAGGGCTCTTAGGCTGAATTTGGGGCAGATCAATGAATACCAACAATCTAGCAAAGAGTTCCCTCTGGTAGACAGTAACTAATCAACACCCCTGTGGCTGGGCTGCGGAAGTGGCAGGGTATAAATGTTCCCAACAGTGGAGTAATTCACATTCCTGGTTTCACATAGGTCTTAGTTGTTTCTGAGATTTTTTTTTTTAAACAACAAAAAAAATACAGATCCCAGCAAGAGCTAATAAGAGCGGTATAAAACTTTTCCTGCAAAGACACCTCTTTCCAGGAAGAGAGCTAGAACCCAAGTTTCTCTTGGGGTGAGATTGTTTTGTAAAATTTCCAAGCTTTCTGCTTGAGCATATCACAAAAGCGGCATTGTTCCTTTTTGGAGAGCCATCACAATTGGGTCTAATTGAGCCTGACACTAGATCCATCTTCCTTTTCTTTGGGGAAGGTGTGGATCTCTTCCTTCCCTCTTAGGTTACAGTGCTTATTGCCTGGGAAAAAAAAATGTGTGAACCCTAGTAAGAAGTCGGGACGTGGATTTAGGGTCAGCTTTCTAATTTAGCATTTGGCACTATACCGCATGAAGGTTCCACAAGCTGTAAGTTCTCGGGCTGTTTTTCTTTCAAGAGACTGCATGACTGTATGGATTCAGTCAAAAATTTGGGCACCTCCTAAGTCTTAGACTCTGTGCTCACATTCTTCATTTTAATACACAAGATAATCCTACCAACTAACGGGAAGGGTTTTCCACTTTTCTGTTTGGTTTTGTTTTTTACTTGAAAGGCTAAAGATATGCCTGACTAAAGGTCGGTAAATTAATGTTTGAAAGTTAAGATCATGGACCTGCTGTCCTCAACCTGAACTGGGTATACTTACGAATATATCTGGAGTGTCTCTGGAAACGATGAATAAACCATTTACTTTCATCAGCCAAGGTTAACTGTTTATCTCTCAACCTTCGTGGATGGAAAGAAATGAATATGTGTTGAGAACCGGGGGTATGCTTTGCATGGTCCCTGTAAATTTCTCCTTTCAGTCCTCAAAGCAACCTGTTGAAACAGGTATCCTGATTTCCAGATAGGGCGTAGTACTCGCCTGAAGTCACCCAGCCACTAACGGAGGGAAACTGGGACGCACACCAGGGCCAGCTCCAAAGTCTAGCTCCCTTCTGTCCTCTGAGAAGGTTCAGTTACTGATCATACCTTGAGTTCTAGTGAGGTGACCTCACAGAAATGAGTGGTAGCTGTCTGATCACCG